GTAGACTTCTTGCTGTCGGAAGAGCTGCCATCGGAACCAATTCGGGCCGAAACCGGACCGAAAAGTCTGCTTTCGGTGCTTTTGGTGCTATCAGTGCTGGCGATTGTCTTCACTTGACTTGATTTGTCGGTCGCTGTCTTCCCTCCATCTCCACTACCGGAAGGCTTACTGTCGCTGTGTTTGGTCTCTGGTTTGGACTTGTTTTCCTCTGCCATTACTTTCAAAAACTCAACTCAACAGAAGTGGAAATGAACTTTTCAACAGTTATTAAAATTTTAAATAAAAATACAACAAAATGATTGTTAAGATTACATATATTTTCAAATCATTATTTTAACAAAATTTTGAAATTGCCTTTAATTACACAAACAATACAATCAATGCATTGAAAGCCATTCAAACATTCACTCAATGAACGCGTTTCTCGACTTTAAGCACAACTTCTTTCGGATTAATTAATCCTAAATTTGAGTCCCGTTTTGGCGGACGCTATGCCAGTGAATAGGGATCACAAATATTAGCTCAATCTTCAATATAAATAAAGTTTCTAATAATAAATACAAACCGATGTTTTGTCGCTGATTTCAAATCGATAGTTATATACGGAGTAAAGTATAGCCAACTTAGCCTCCATTAGGGCCAACCGTTTGGCCACACAATTACGCGGTCCGGCGCCAAACGGCAGGTGAGCGTACGGGTGGTGTGCGATATTGCCGGACAAAAATCTCTCGGGTTTAAATTGATCAGGATCTTTAAACTGTTCCGGGTCTTTATGAAGTGCGTATACAGGAATTTGAATGATATCACCCTTGAATACCCTAATGAAATCATCAGCGCCTCCATCACCGGTCAATGTGATGTCATGTGAGGCCTCCCTCTCTAGTATCAGCACCGGTGGGAACAGACGGTGTGTTTCCATGAGTACGGCGTTTAGGTATTCAAGCCTTTCAATGGCATCGTAATCGATGTCTTCCTATAAAATATATATTTATTTATTAATATTTAAAATAAATTACTTTTAATTTCTAAATACTTTGTAATCAATAACACTCTTTGATTCTTCAAATAACCTTTGCTGCGATTCCGGGTTTTCGGTCAACAGATATATGGCGTACGCCATAGTATTGGCTGTCGTGTCGTAACCGGCGGTAAAAAACAGCACACATTGCGATATCATCTCCTCGTCTGACAAACCTATTCATCAAAAAGTTATTCAAAATTTTGCATTATTTTAATAAAATTGCATTTAAAACACACTTTTTGTATTTAATAACAAAGAAGTTGTCTTCTCAACCGTTGCCTCTGGTTTGTGACTCTCATCACTATTTTCCTCATTATTCCTATCGTTCGCATCCAATAAGAGCTGCAAAAAGTCATACCTATTCGCACCGTCTGATCCCTGACCGGTGCGGCGCTCAGCGATTATCTTACGGACTAAATCGGCAAAGAATGCGAGAACCGATTGCGGAAATAATGTGAAGCCCAAGAGTTTGGCAAACTTTGGCCACAACATGATCATCATTAGCTTCGGGAGACTACCGAGCGATACGTTATCCATTAGTTTCTTGGCATTCAATATAATGGGATTCTTGTCGTCAATAAGTGCGTCCACTTTTGTCCCAAACGCCACTTGTATTATCACTTCCATAGTATACGCGCCATAAGCTGTCTTCATGTCCACCGAGTGGTCACTGTTTGCCGACATTTTGCCAATATTTTTAATTAATGTCTGCAAACAATCGTCAATCAAAGGCCGCATTTTGCGTAACTTTCCGGTCGAGAAAGTGGGCGACACTATAGCCCGCAGGCGTTTCCACTGGTCATCGAGTGACAGACTTAACATATTGTCAGTTATGGCATCACTTCCGGCGAACACACTCTTCATATGATTTGTGACAAAAATCAAATCAATCACAAAATAGACACGAGTTTCAGGCTTACAATGAATTTGATATCCACTACACACTCACCGTTCTGTTAGTAAAAGTGGTAAACTCTTTGCTCAGCACTTGGCTTATGAAATCATGTCGGGTACACATGATGGCCGTCTTGCCTAACATGGAATAAGAGAACACTTGACCATGTTTTTTCACCGCTTCCAGTTGTGACACTTCAGGCAATTGTTTTTTCCATATTAAATCATACAATGACGTCGGACTCCCGACCTTCACATTCCTGTCCCTCTTCTCCCGGCTATTGTCCCGACTATTGTCCCGACTGTAGTATCTGTCAAATAATACAATATTTTGAATATATATACATTTAAAAGCTCATAACTAATTAATTAAATAAATAGCATAAAGAAACAAAATAATAATTACACTTGTAACTTACTTGAATATCAAATATACAAATGCAATGGAAATTAATGCTATCAAATAATTTGTTGACAAAAACTCTGCTATATTTTTAAATATTGTATTCATAGCAATAGGGTTTAAAAATTTGTATTAATAAACAAAACGATGTGGATTTAAATTTACTGTACAATCAAATGTATTATAAATGAGACGTTAAAATACTTGTGCAATACAATAACACAATGACTGATTGTAAATCATCAATGTAATCAACACTAAATTCAAGGACAATTAAACTTTCCATCGTTAAATAATTGCCCTTGAATTTACTGTTGATTACACATGATTGCTATGTAATTACATTGTTGATCTAAAATCAGTCATGCTAATTTAAAGTATAACTGTTACTTGTCTACCGCAGTATAACTTTTGTTCATAATAAAAACAAAACTATCATTGATAAAAAATCGTTGTTGTTACTTATTTAATATTTATCATGTAATGTTTAATGTGAAATGTTTATAAATTGTAATTTTATCCGTATAAAAGTAATCAAGTATAATCAATATAGTATAGTATAATCAAGTATAGTCTTAATACAGTATAGTTAATATACATTGTATATTATACAATTAAATAAATTTTACACAAATGTTATTTTACCCATAATTAATAAACATTTAAATAAATTTAATGTAAACAAAATGCATGTACAATGAATTCTGTTTATTATGTTATAAATATATAACTGTAAATGCACATTTCAAGAATTATTGTGATAATTTTATTAATTAAATTACAAATTCAACATCAATCTATAATATTAATATTGTTTGTTGCACTGTAATAAGTAAACTTGCTAAAAAATTTATATTTACATTTAATTTATTTACCAAGTTTATTTACTCTTCAGATTATTTTGCAATTATTGATTAAAATTTCTGTCTAAAACATTTGTACACAATCGTTGAAATAACAATTTATTATTTTGTGAAAACAATATAAACAATAGAAATATTTAATTAAATTAAAAATATAATTGTTCGTAATACAGTATTAATTTTAGTTAATCTAATTTTATATATGTAAAGGATGAGTCGTTTTGGCATAACTTTTAATTACTTTTATTTATTTTTCACATTTTATTAAAAAAGTTACAAATTTTAGGTACTTTCACACAATTAGTGTGAGACACACGAGGAGTGTGTTTGGAGGACTACATGGCTGTAGATTAACGACTGAATGTATGTGTTGTAAGTTTGGGCTTAAATAGGGACAGAATGGGGTGACATTTGGGTCAATTTGGGTCACAATGTTATTGTCGGCAGTGTTTGTGAGGGAAATATGGGTTACAATTGGGGTTACAATTGGTTTATGGCTTAAAGTTTATGTGGAAATAGTTTCACAAATAAATTCAATTAAAGTAAAAATAAAATTATTGATAATTTTAGATATACTTTATATATACTAACAGCATTATACAAAATTTATAACTATTTGTGAATAATTAAAGTTTTTACATTAAAATGTTTGCAAAATTATCCTTTATGATTATGTGTTGTTGTAGGCTATTGTATTCACAGTAAATAATTAAATTATTTTGATTACAACATAATATTAAGATTTTAAATAATTTTATTTTTTAGCCCAAACATATCAGATGTCGAGGAATTTCTATCAAAATTTGATTCAAAACATTACAACAGAAACATTAATAATTAAATTATTTTGATTACAACATAATATTAAGATTTTAAATAATTTTATTTTTTAGCCCAAACATATCAGATGTCGAGGAATTTCTATCAAAATTTGATTCAAAACATTACAACAGAAACATTAGGCCTGACAGTGGATGTGATTATCAATTTATTTGATTAACCCATAATTAAAAGCCATTTAAATTAATATAATTTATTACATTTATTTTGTCAAAACTCTTGTTATAATAATTATAATTATTTGTTATTATATTGCTTTATTAATTAATAGCTGGAGCACTTATAATAAATGTCTCACTTGGCATAACGGATATTTAT